AATAAAAGAAAATGCACTTGATTTTGCATAGCCATATTAGCAACCCCTGATTTTATATATATCAGGAGTTACAAAAAACTGGGAAAACATAGCACACACATCCGAGTCACATTCCCGCAGTGTGATATCTCTGAAGGCCTGATGATTCCAAAGGGCGTCAACAAAGGTTCTGGTGGAAGAACCAGCAGGACGGTATTAAATGGAACAGGTAGAAACCATTCCAGGGCAAGAAGTAAAACCAGAGGCAGCCGTCATCCCTGCTATGTCCTTTCAGTTGACAGATGGAACAGTGGTGGGCTTGGTGGACACCTTAGACTGGGATTAGTTTCTAACTAGAAACACTCCCTTTGAAAATGGCAACAAGCCCCTCCCTGCACTCACACTGCTACCCTCCTCAGTTTCTGTCACTAATCTGAAGATAGACTGCCTTACCATAAGGGGGCTAGCAAACCACTGGCCTGGAACCAACGCTCAGTATTTCCACTCTATTTCTGGCCATTGTTGAAATTGGCAAAATCTTTGGGTCCTCTGCCTCAATGTCCCTGACTGTGAGATGACTTTCAAGAGAGTGAGTGTCATAGAGAGGGGGGAGGCTGCTAACAGGAAAGGTATTTCTGACCTGATGGACTCCCCCATCGCCTTGGTGCCGAGACGAAGATCCCTGGTACAAATTTTAACTAGAGGGACATCTAGTTCCCTGAAAATGATTTGCTGGTGACTTGGCAAATGCTTTCAGCCCCAGTCTCACGTAGTCAAAAAGCTTCTCCTCCTCTCTGAAATCTCTTCAAGGGAACTAGAGGAGAGGTAAAAACCTTTATTTAGGAAGTAGGAGGTACAAGTCACAGGTGAAAAGGTTGTAAGCTAAGCACATTATCCAGAGTTCACCCCCAAGCACAAACCACATCAAAACCCGCTCAGGACTCTGCTGAGGGCTTCTGCCGTTGTTTGTTAACAAGCCAGGGTGATGCCCACATTTCTGCTTGGCTCTTATGTCAGCTAAGGCCAAGCCAGTACAGAATCTACAGCCAAGAATATCTTGAAAACCAACCTTCTTTACCTCCTAGTTTTCAACAGGGCGCAGGCGAACACACCTGGTTGTTTTCTTAGCCCCACGTCTGAAGCTACACTGGTGTGGTGAGAACCCAACAGGAAGGTTGTTGTCGCAACGCCAACAACATCTGTCTTTAAAGTGAAGACACGCTAGGGAACTTGAAGCTCGAAGTGGACCTATTTTTCTGCCCAGAAGTCTAAGGTTTTAAATGACAGTTGTTTTTGATCCTGTTTAATTGGGTAGGTTTTGAAAGGTATCACCCACACACAGGAGAACGCAGTGAGGTAGGTAGGCTCTTGGGATGGAGGCCTGGAATCTGGGGTTCAGCTGCCTTCTGCATGCTGGTGTGGCTCAGCCTCCTTCACGCCACCACCCGGCCGCAAATCGTAAATCATTACCTCCGTGTTACCGTTTCCATCTCTGTACATGCACATTGGAAATATCTGTAAGGTATCATCTACAATTCTATAGCCGTTATTTGCGACTAAGCGGGCAGTTTAATTTTCCCTCTGTGATTTTAATATACTTCAGATTTTCTACAATACGTGCTATTTTGTAATCGCGGGGGGGGGTGTGTATATATCTATTGGTGGTATTACTGTTTTAAAGTGCAGTCTCCATTTCCCCAACTTGTGCAGTGGGCGTCTTTCCTCAAAGTGCGCGGTGCTCAGCGCTCCCTGGCAAGGTCCCCATGTGCTAGCCCGCGGCGGAGGCGGGGTGTGGCGGCCCGGGAGGCGTGCCCACGGCGACGGGAGCCCAGCCCCGCGTGTGTCCTCAGTCCCTAGGGCAGCTCCGGATCTCCGGAGGCAGCTCTTGAGACGCTTCCTCTACTGTCCCCTCAGAGTAGCAGGCGGGAGGCGTCTTCTTCCTCCTCTCCATCCTTAGCCAGGTTGGGGACGGTCTCGGGGAAGGGGGCCCCCAAACTCCTGCAGCGCGGAGCGCCTCCGTGGGACGGCGGGAGGGGGCAGACGGGCCTCGCTCACCCGGTGCATCTGCTTCCCCTGCAGACGTGCACGGACCATGTCGGCGCAGACCGCGAGCGGCCCCACGGAGGACCAGTTGGAGATCCTGGAATACAACTTCAAGAAGGTCAACAAGCACCCGGACCCCACCACGCTGTGCCTCATCGCAGCCGAGGCGGGCCTTACCGAGGAGGAGACGCAGGTGAGTCCCCAAGCCTATTGCATCCTCGGGGACTGGCGGGACTCCATCACGTGTATCCCAGTCCTTAAATCACTCCGCAGCTCTCTGAGCGCCCGGTCCACCTCCACCCAACCCTATCCCACCACCATCCTCTTTCTGGGTTTCCACTGCCTCCCAGAGCCGCCGGCCCCTTGCTTTCTCCTCCTGTAGTGGGAGCATCTCGCCCGCTTTCCTTTCGGTTTCCCGGCCTCAGAAACTCTCCCCGCTGTGCTTCAGGAAGGTTTATTCTCATTAGAGTTGTCACGGTTTTTTAAAGGGACGATAGCGATCAGCTATAGATTCGGTCCTCGGGTTTGTCAAAAGACGAAACTAAGGCGAGGGTGATGGTGTACGGGCGTGGGGATAGCGGTGGGGGACGAGACCTGTCAGGGACGTTAAATCGCTCTTCCCACCACATCACCACATCTCGGTGTTGCAACCTAACCGGCACATTGCCATACTTTGGTTCAGATTTTGCTGCTGTTTTTTATTAATCCCCTGATTCTGAGCTTCAGGTTCAGTTTTAGAGTCTTTCTCTGGAGTTTTCCAAGAAGGTAGTCATCTGTCCCTATGGCCGCCAGTACCCGACCCCCTAGCATGACGATAATTTGTCTGTCCCTCGTTATCCCATTATCCCGAAAATTAGCTTAGGGTAGAGATGGCAGTACAGCCTGTCGCAGTGTTGGAGCCTTTAGCCGACTCTCCCTTCAGTCCTGTCTAACCTCTGACTTTCTTGCCTTTGGTCGTGGAAAGATGATTTGCTCCGCATGATAAACTGTTTGAGAGTTGATCCTGTTTCTCTCAAAGCATTTCAGACCGTTCAATTCTACTCTGAGCTGGGATATTCTTATCCCTCCAGTTAATAGACTGGAAAAGGAGGGGCTTTGTCCTCACTTCACCCTGCTCAGTTAAAGCTTAAAACCTTGTAATGAGTGCTCCCTGGGATACTGGAACCAATATCCTGAGCCCTAAGTCCTGGATGATCCTTGCTAAGCCGGGACAACTTGGAGAATTTACCCAGAGGGTAATCTTCCCGGTCCCAGATCAAATAGAAAGGCTATTTAACCAGAATCAGAACCCAATAGAAGATGATTTATTGTAACACAAGTCTAAAAGCTCATATTTCTTGCAACTCATCAAAAGGCAAGCTGTTGGAGTATTAGCATTTTAAAACCCATGCTATATTTAATGATGTAGAGATGTCTCCTGTCTAAGAACTAGGCTATTGGATGTTATGGATGCAGTACCAACTTGGGAGTCAGCAGAATAGCCATGTTTGTCTCTGTCCTGTGGTGTTGGAGATCAAAGCTAGTGCTGAGTGCACACTGCCATGGAGCTGTGCCACCCGTCCCGGACTGACCTTTGGAGTGACAGATAACTGTCATATGTTTCAGATACTTGCTGAATCTCTGCTCATTTTGTCACTCTCTTAAGAGAGAAAGCTCCGCAAAGGAACTGATGCACAGAGAGCTCAGGTTACTAAAACTGCAGCCAGAGCCCAGCCTGCCTCCGTATTGTAGACTCTGGGCTTCTATCCCATTCTCCATCCTAGCCTCTATCCGTTCCTCCAGAGGAAGGTTGGGAACAACTGTATGAGGTGATGTGGGGAAGAAAGGGCAGAAAGATCAGTTTACCCATGCATTAGGCAATGGTCATTCCAGGCTATTGCTGATCTTTCCTCTGGATTTATCTGCTATTAGAGAATTGAAATGTAACCTAGCATGGGCTGGAAGAAAGGGCATCTATTTGCCTTTCAGTGGTCAGGATCAACCAGTGCAGAAACCCACATGACAGAGGTCATGGCTATAGCCATTCTTCTGTCTCCCCTCTTCTGCCATCCTCAGATGAACGAATGGTGCAGCAAGCCTGACAAGAGTGGGTGTGGGTGAGTCAGCCTCATGGGAGGGCCTGGCTTCCTCTTCCTGCCATAGGCCAACACCTTCTTCCTCCAGAGGCCCACTGCAGCTCAGCTTACCCTCACCTTCCTGTCTAGACCTGCAGGAAAGTACCTGGAACCCAGAGTTTCAGCAGAGCAAGCTGCAGGAACGAGGCTTCTGCTTGTCCTGTCCTTTCTTTCTGGACCGAGTCCCATCTCCCCATCCTTCCTAACTCCATGCACCGCCTACATGGGCACTGACATATGAAAGTGATTCATAATCTACTCTAACATTTACATTTTAAAAGATGTCTTTTACAAAAAAAAAAAAAAGTCCTGCAGATACAAAGTCCTGTAATGAGATTGCAAGACAATTGCTTTCATCTGTAGTAGGTCTTTAAGGATATTTAATAGAACTTTATGGAAGCCAAGTTCTTACCTATCTGTGATGTCTACTGTCAGCACAGCCCCTGATGCTCTCCCTTTTAGTGTGGTCCTCTTTCAGCCAAAATGATATTGATCACATATGCCAGAAGCCCCTTCCCATCCTGACTCCAGCCACCTCCAGAGATAGATCCATGCCCCTCCCCTTTCTCAGAGAGTGAGACAGGCAGAGTCTTCCTATGTAGTCCGAACTGGCATGAACTTACAACCCCTCTGCCTCAGCCTGCAGACTGTTGAGATTACAGACAGATATCACAACACCCAGCATCATATTCTTTCCCTAAAATAAGTATTGTGTTACTAAAAGAGATACGCACAATCCACTCTTGAGAGATAGTTACTAATTCATGCTGTTCACACTGTGGCAAAGCTGAGAAAGACTGGAGGCAGAAGCTTTCTGGCTGGGGACCTTTGTGGACCTCCTTTTCTTTTTCTTCCCCCACTGTCCATGAACTTGGTAACATACCAACATCCTAATAAGGTTTGAGGGAGGCACATCTTAGACATTGGTGTGAAAAGCCAGTCATCGTGTTTATGAGTCACAGATTAGTCTGTAGAACTCCTTGTGACAGTCCTGCTATCGAAGTCTCTGCTCTGGGGAGGCGCCTGCAGGAACTCAGCTCAGTGAGAGCCTCTTAGAGAACTCAACATGCATTATTGTGATCCCCAAAGGAGCTTCTCTCATCACTAGTATTCTGTATATCTCCTACATTTAATCTAAATGAAATCCTACAGAACCCCACTCCCTGTGTCTTTTAATGTCTGGAAGTCAATGTAAAGGGTAAAGGGGGCTGGGAACACTCCCTCCTTTCACCCTGAGGAGCTGAGATAATACAGTATTCTTCATATACCCTCACGTACAAAACATTCTCTCTCTCTCTCTCTCTCTCTC